AGCTTAAAGAAGAGAATAAATATTCTATATTTAATTTAAATTTGAATTAAAAAGTAATATTCAAGGTAATTTTAATTCATCACAAGGATATATTTATAGGTAAAAATTCGGTTTAAAAATAATTTTATTTCACATAACTAAAATTCAAAGATAATTTTAGTTATGACTTAAATATGTAATATACAATTAAATATTTATGGTGGGTTTTAATTAAATATATAATATATATAAAAATGAGTGAACAGTAATATATTTATATTTGTCATATGGGTAATTATACCTAACAATTATTTGTCTTAACTATGAAAAATAATAATTTTAATATTTAATAAATTGTATAAGATATATTTTTTTTACAAATATAAAAATTGAAAAAATATTATGTTAATTAATTAAAAAAACTTAATATATAGTTTTATTCGATTTTATTTTTTAACTAAATATTATTAAATAAATATTTTATCATTATTTTAAACATGGCCAGGCTGTATCCAGAACTTCTCCAGTGAAATCCCTAATTTACCCTTTTCACTGTCGGCCCGCTGAATAACCTCTCCGACCGATTGCTTGCACCGCTCTGAACTTCGAACCATTTCGCGAAACACTAATCTCATCGGCGAAGAACCGGGAATCGCGGTGCTTCCATATCGGCGGTACTGAAAGGGAATGGTTGCAGAGTGAGGAACAAGGGAATTTGGCGACGAGGTTATTGGTCTCCGCATTTAAACTTGCTTGTATACACATAGGAAGACAAACGAAAGAATTAATTGCTATATACGTATTTCTCGTTTCTGTTTTTTTTTTTGTATGAATAGGAAGCTATTTTATGCTTTTTAGACTTGTGGATTTACTGTGAAATTGGATAAAAATGGTTAATTGATTTACTGGGTGCAGTTCATTATGTGGGTAGTTCGCTTGATGGGACCAAGCTATTTTAAGCTTTGCGAAGTCATAACCTCCGACCGCTGTTTGTCTCGTAATCATGTCTGGTATAGTTTTTAGTTGCACGTCAACTTTCCTTTACTGTGTTTTTTTCAATTTTGTTTTTGTTTAGGGTTTACTGGAATTTTCGGTGAAGGGGTTTAGAGGGGATGAATGACTAAGTGAAATAGAGGAGGAGGTGGACAACAAAATACAGACGATGTTAAAATCTAGGAAATTAGCAAAAGAGCACAAGGAGCAGTTAAGAAAAGGTTAGGAGCTTTTTGTTTAAGTGACAATAATGTCGTTTTGTATTTATATTTTGTTTTATATAATTCATTTTCATGTCTCTGTTTCTGGTGTAGTAATCTTTTGGGTTCTTCAACTGGTCTGGTCCCTGTGTAGCTCTCAAGCTCTTCAAGTTAAGGACATTTGAGCTTATATCTGTCCTGGTTCAACATCTTTTTTTTATAAATTCATCTTAGTATGGGATTTTTTTGACATATAGTCTGACTGAAATTGGGGTAGAGGATGTCGTATGTGTAATTGATCAATGAGAATATTGGGGTTTAGATTATGGTCGGATTGAGGGATTACAAATTATTTGAATCTGAAACAAGGGTAAGAGCCAATAGGTTCTGCATCATGAAAGTATACTCATTTATAGGGAGTATTTTTTCCTCTGGGAGTTGAATCCCTTGGCTATAGATTATGCTTCTTGGTTATAAGTTATCTTAAGGAAATTAATATATGGATCTAGACTCGGGTGACTAGTATAGTTGAATTCATAGACTGAAGAACTGCTTTGATTCTTTTGCTTGTTTTGCATGTCTCTGTTCAAAATTTTCAGGTTCAATTTCATGGCAACTCTACCCTTTTCTCCTGTTTTCACTGAACTAAAGTTCTTGAAAGAACTGCTAAGTTAATTTCACCCCCATCTTCCCTTATATTTGCTTTTTTGATTGCTTTTCAACGATTCTCCTGTTCTACCCTTCTTGGTGATAAGACTGTTTGTTCAATTTTTCAGCGTTGTCCGCTTTAAGTTTGTACCACGAGAGGCTGTCTTGCTTAAATTATGACTTTATGTTAATATTCCTTAACCTATTTGTTGCAAGGAGAAAGGCCCTCAAACCCCAAAGCGAAAAATAGCTGAATGGAGGATAGGCAGGACATGTCTATGTAAGATAGACAAAGAAATATCTTTAGAAGGACCTTGTTGCTTAGCCCAAAGAAATGAAAGAAAAACCATCAGTCTCAAATAAACAAAAAATCAAGAAGTGATCCTTAAAGATCTTGTGTTTCTCTCTAAGCCCTCAAGAATTAGAAGAGTAACCCAGGAAGTAGGAAATTACCTAAATTATCGAGTAAATATCTTGTGTATTTCTCTTGCCTAAATTTTCTATATGTTATGATAGCTTCATTTTTAATGTTGTCTTATAACTTTTAAGCTGTCAACAATTAAATCTATTATGTTTTCTGTCTATTGTGACGTTTTCAGTTTCTCACTAATTTAATTGTTGTTGTTGATTCTTTAATATAAGAGCTTTCAATATTTTCATACACAATAGGTATGAATGTATATAGTTTGGTTTTATTTAATGTCTGTCGGGGCGAGAAATTTATTTAATCCCTATTTATTTTTTGACAATTGTATAGTAAACTATAAGATCTAAAATGCATTAAAATGTAAAATACAACACACCAACTGTCAGTGGATCAAAGGTTATATGTGGAATTTTCAATTTAATAGATTACACAATATTTAACTATTTTGTGTAAAGTTACCTAGATGACATAGAAGATTAATGAGCGTACATGATTACTAGCATGAGGAGATGGTCTATTTATTTGACATATCTAATTTTAGATTTTGTACTAGAACATAACTTTAGATGCAATACGAGACTTATATATGACCCTTCTTCAACATGATTTGTGCATTATAAACAATAATTCATTATTTAAGCATAATCTTGTAACATATAAAGAAAATAAAAACAAGCTTATATTAATCTACATCATTAAGAGAGAGTCAACTATGGGCTAAAACCACATTTATCATTTCATATATACATTATTTGAGTATCAGTTTTTTGGAATTAAAGATCAAATATTTGATTTACTTTTCTGACATCTCCACAAGAGAAAACTCACTAACCTGATCATCAATTACTTCTCCTTTAGCAACAATAATTGGAGGAGCATGTCCCCAATTTATATTTTGTTTTAATTCATTTTCATGTCTCTGTTTTTGGTTTGCTAATCTTTTGGGTTCTTTTACTGCTCTGGCCCCTGTGTAGCTTTCAATCTCTTCAAATGTAGGAGATTTGAGCTTATATCTGTCTAGGTTCAACACCTTTGTTTTTTCTAATTCATTTTAATTTGGGAATTTTTGCATATAGACCGACTACAAATCTAGTAAAGGATGCCTTATGTGTAATTGATCAAAGACAATATTGGGGTTCAAATTATGTGGTCAAATTGAGGGATTACAAATTATTCGAGTATGAAACAAGAAGAAGAGCCAATAGGTTTTGCACCATGAAAGTATACTCATTTATAGGGAGTACTTTTTCCTTTAAGAGTTAAATCCTGTGACTATAGATTTGGCTCATTACAAATTTGGTTCTTGGTTATAAGTTATCTTAAGGAAATTAATATATATGGCTCTAGATTCGAGTGATTAGTATAGTTGAGTTCGTAAACTGAAGAACTACTTTAGATCTTTTACTTGTTTTGCATTTCTCTGTTCATTTTTTTTAGGTTTATTTTCATGGCAGCTCTGTCCCTTTTCTCCTGTTTTCAGTAAAATAAAGTCTTTGAAAGAGAACTACTAATTTAATTTCTCCTTCATCTTCCCGTTTCTTTGATAATTTGATTGTTGTTCAGTGATTCTCCTCTTTTGTCCTGCTTCATGATAAGACTCCTTCATTTTTTTAATATTGCCCGCTTTAAGATTGTACCACGAGAGGGACATCTTGCTTAAATTACGATTTCTAGTTAATATATGTTAATCAGTACAAACTGGTATCATATGTTATTTCCTATATTGGTTATTGTTGCTAAGTTCCTCGTTGCTCTCGTTGTTGTTTTCTCGCTCTTTGTAAGGATTTTGGTTTTATCTTGTCTTCCATACATAACCTTAGTTTGCACCCTCTATAGTCCAATTTCCCCTAAGTTACTTATTCAAATTTTCTTTCTCTAGCTGTTGTTCGTCGTGAGAGCCTCGCTTATTAGGTCAAAATGATGCCATCAATGTTATATTTTGTTTTAGTAATTCATTGTGTATCGCAGGTTATATCACCATTTCCTTGTATTTGTTGTCTTCTCTTACCATATCATCAATCTCTTTGCATAAGTAGTCAATAAAAATTTAATTTTTACCTCGAAGCTTATAGACTAAAGGTTTATATATCCCTTAGTTAGGTTTTCTTCTTTTGTTCTTTACGAGCAACAACATCATGTAGCTTAAGTTTGAATGGGCTTGAAAATCGTATAGAAATAAACCTTGAAGAGAACTACAGGCACAAACTATATTGCACTTAAATAATAAGAACGAAGTTAGACTTCCTTAATTTTTTCTTTTAGAAAGTTTAGTCCCAAGATTTAATTTGGCCTATTTAAAGATTTTAAAATTTTAATTGAGATAATTTTTTTCATGATTTTACCATTTATTTTAATTTTTTAATAGAAATTGAAAATTTGAGTATACGAAATTAGACTATAACACAAGTACTACATCTAAAGTGGATATTATTCTAAAATGTTTTCTCTTCTTTCTGGGGTGTCAATATTGATATGAATTAATATTCTTTTATCTATTAGCTATGGTGGATTTTTTTTTAATTGTGGAAAGTGACTAGATAAGTCGTTATTTCTTGAATATTTTCTTTGAATGATAATAATATACAGTGTTTAATTAGTGAGAAAAAAATTCACAATTTCTCAAATTCTTTGCATCGAGTCTAGTTTCTTCATACTCTTTTAGAAACAAATTAATTTGCAGATATCGTGACTAAAGGAGGAGTTGCAAGAGGAGATAACACATGGAAGCATTCTTCTCATGATTGTGAAGATCTAATATATGCATCATTACCTGCTTTCACTGGTATGATTTCGCCCTTGTTATAATCATTTTGTATTCAAATTTTAATTTTGTTCAATTCATACGAGTATCTAAATTTTAGAATTCGTTGAATTTGTTTGAATTACTTATTTTTAATGAGCAAATCAATTTTGGATTTTTTTTTTGCCAAAAGAAAAGCATTGCAGGCCAAGGTTCTAAGAAGCTTTTTTGTTGTTTTGAAGATTTAGTCTTAAATTCCTGTGTATTTTTCTTTCCAAAAATTTCAATATTTATGACAGCTTCACTCATAATGTTGTCTTGTACCTTTTAAGTTGTCAACAACCAAATCAATTTTTTTTTTTTGCCTATTATGGCATTATCAATTTTTCACCAATTTAATTGTTGTTGTTGATTCTTTAATATAAGAAGGCTTCCTCTATCAGCGGTGCACTGCCCGAGCTTGCAATGCCCGGCCAGCGCATTGCAGTCTAGCATACAGGCGCATAGGCCTGCTATTGTGCGTGCATAGGGCCTAGGTGCACTAGGTGCCGTGTGCACAGGCCCCAGGCGCACAAGGCTTATCTGCACAGGTCTGTTGCGCAGACAGCGCGCGTATAGTATGCGACGCCAGTTCGTGTGCAAAGTGACGTGCAGACCGCCTGCTTATGCGTACAGGTCCTGACCCTGCGTCATGTGTGCGAAGGGGGACATGCTCGTTCTCCACACGTCCTGTGCGTGTGTGCGTGCGGAAGGGAAATGCGTGTTGTGCGCATGCCCCGCGGCCATTGTGCGCGCATGCGCGCGCGCACAATAACCAGCACCCGCGCAGGCAAACTAGCATCTTATGGGATTTTTCTCGCGAGCAGTTTTTCTCCCACTTTGCCGTTTTTTCAATTTTTTTTAAATTTTTCTTTTAATTTAAAATAAAATTTAAATAAAAATAAAAATAAAAAATAAGTTAAAATTATGAATAATGAGAAATGTTAAACAACGTAAATTAATTAATTTTAAGGTCAACCAAAAACCTGAAAAAATAGAGTTTTCAAATTATTTTAGTATAGTGATAGGCGGGGTGTTGCAGACTCAGATGCATTCTCTCCCTAGGCACGATCGAACGGATGAGATGAATCGCGATGAACGGTCTAGATTTGCTCACGCAATCGGCCTAAACTAGCAACGAT